ATGTATGTCCATGTGTGTATGTATGTTTATGTATGTGCATGAGTGCCTGTGTGTAGATACAGTTAGTTTATCTATTTTGTTTACTAACTATTAAAGTATTCTCTGTTAGAACGAACCTTTCTTGGAACGTTTCGTCTTTGATTTACGAAACAAACTGGAGCCCTATTACCTCTCGACAACGTGAAAACTACTGGACAATTCCTGGAGATAGTTTACCATTGCTTCCAGGGGCAAATTCCAGCATTGAAATATACATAGATCTGAAGAAATTTCGAGAGGTTAGTACTACAGTTAAATGATTGTCTTGTTAAAATGAAAGGCTGGGTCGCATACGAAGAATAGTATGCGTTTCCTGGACAACATCAATAATAATTATAATAAGAGTAGGAGTATAAGAAGAAGAACCAGAAGAAACAAGAAAAGGAGGAGGAGGGGAAAAAGAAGAAAAGAAAACTAACAGCAAAAGCAGAAGATACAGAAGAATCAACAGCAGTAGCAACACAATAATACTAATAATAATTTAATAATAATGAAAAGAATAGGAAAAAGTACTGTTATACTTATTGCAATAGTGAAATTATAAATTGTTTTTTTTATAGTTGTCCACCATGTGTCCGAATTTATATTACATCGTGTTTAACTTGAAATCTCAATTACCACATGTATATGTTTAAACTGAAATTATGTTCACTTTCATAATATTTTAACGTGGCGCGGTGATTTATGTCACAGGCGTGAGGGGAAGTTAAGCCCAACATGATGTGTATAAGGAGATACTCCGTACGTCACTCGGGCGCCAGTCCTTTACTATCCTGGTTGTACGGAAGCTCACGCAAGACCCCTACAGCACGTCCTCGTCGTGCGCCACGGATAATGTCTCAAATGAGCATTAACAGAGCTGTCAGGGGATCTCGGAGTTCGGCGGCCCCCAGAGGTGATGTGTCCTTGTGGCTCTCATCAGCCCGCCCCCAAACGCTTGGGTGAAAAATGTTATCAAAACTCATTAGGAACATGTGTAGGTTTGCCAAACGTACAGCCAAAATTACAACCCTTGGTTAAAAGACTGCGGAGTAAAGAGAACATTGTTCACTGCACATCCTCTGTTAACCCTCAGTGTCGTCGTCACCGCGCTGAGATACACTACAACAGCAACCATCCATAGGCTGGCCATCCCTGTACATCCTCGGTTAACCCTCAATGTCGTCGTCACCGCGCTGAGATACACCACAACAGCAACCATCCATAGGCTGGCCATCCCTGTACATCCTCGGTTAACCCTCAGTGTCGTCGTCACCGCGCTGAGGTACTCCACAACAGCAACCATCCATAGGCTGGCCATTCATGTACATCCTCGGTTAACCCTCAGTGCCGTCGTCACCGCGCTGAGGTACGCCACAACAGCAACCATCCATCAGATGGCTTAGCCTAAATGTCCGACAAAACTAGATCATACGGATCAAAATCTGACCATCAAAATTCGTATTGAACTGAAAAAGACCGAATGTCCACACCCAAAGACCCCACTCGCCCGAGTGTTAGGACAAAACTGATATCGATATGCCTGATGCAGGATGTACAATTCTGTCGGGCTAACGGCTCGTCAAAGAAATCAAACGTGCGAAGAAAAAAAAAAAAAGAATGTACCTATCTGTGTGGTCACAAAAGTCCAAAACCCACGGGCTGCTCCCCGCTGACTTCCAGAGGGCGCAGCCCCTGTCGAGCGGGAGGCCTGATACGGTTGTGAGGTTAAGCAGGCATGTGCAGGACGTGACGATTCCTTGGGTGAGCCCAGAACCAGAGCGCCATGTGCCGGCTCTGCATGCATGGAAGCCTCCTTGGATGGCGGGGAATGCCCATGATCTGCCCCTGCCTTCCCTTGAGGGCTAACTGTTCCACAGTGGGCTGCCCCAAAGGGGTACTCCGGTGGCAATACCTGCGGCGAAGGAGACTAAGTGGACAACACACAAATCAGGCAACGTCTCGACCCACACAAAACAATGGCCACAGTCACCCTAGAAATAGGCCTGACGTCTTCCTTCGAAGTCGGAGTACAGCTGCCCATGAGGCAGGGAAATGAAAAACGGTTGTACACGCAAAAATCAGGTCCAGGTGAAAGCCAAAAGTCCAAGCGGACGATTAACCGGGACCTTCCACTGGAATTCACAGCCGGTGATCGATTAAAAAAAATAATAATAATAATATTTTAACATTAAATCACCCCTCCCTCCATCAGGGCAGAATATTAGACGGGCCTGCGTGCCCAATTCTTAACCCTTTAAAAATAAAGTTTGTTCGTTCGTTCGTTCGTTCGTTCCTCTGCCATCCCCTTTCGTTTTTATTTCCTAATGTTTTCAATGCTTACGCTGCAGCAAGTAATAAAACAACATAAGGAATGCCAGGGTTTAAGAGAATATCCTTCCTCAATGTTCAAAAGCCAGCCCTCCAACACTACAAAGTTTACAGCTGATATGGATAGAAAGCGAATTGAGCTTGCATTTATGTAAGTATGACGTCTCTCGGCATTGTGCTGCTCATAAATATTACAATAATATTCATTATTATGGTGTGTAACTCTTTGTGTTAACTTCTACAATAACGTCATCAATAATGTTTTTCAGAGAATGCCGGTGTTTTGGGAAATAAATAAAAAGATGAATTGGCTGATTTTGCACAACTTGGTGGTTTATTCTTGCAGGAAAAGTTAAACAACCCAAGAGCTCTCCATGAGCAACAACAAACAAAAAAAAAACAGTGCCGGCGTACCCAAAAAAGTGACAAGGATCTGGCTTTCTCTCAACACTCATATGAGAGGCGAGACGGACATACAGTCAAACTGATACTAGTACCATGATAACTGACACTATAGGCTTGTTGCTGAAGACAGGGACGGGCACTTAAAGGAATGTTCCAAGTACAATGATGTCTGTTCTCAGCTCATAACTTTAACTTGTATCCTGTCATATCTTGTCCCTGTGATTCAAATAAGGACTGTGTCCTTCTTCTCCTTCCATCGGTTTCTCCACGAGACACTGGACATTCACCAGTTCAAGTCAAATTGTCATATTCTTTGTTATCATGTGCTGTTCATTCCTCGCTTTCCAAACCTTGACCTGTTTATTCTTTATGTGTCTTCGATCCTAGTGCGCCAAATCACTCATCACTGTTCACCTTAACTTAAATATTCTTTATGTCTTCGATCCTAGTCCGCGGATTCACTCCTTACTGTTCACCTTAACTTAAATATTCTTCATGTGTCTTCGATCCTAGTGCGCCAAATCACTCCTTACTGTTTACCTTGACTTAAATATTCTATATGTGTCTTCGATCCTAGTGCGCCAAATCACTCCTTACTGTTTACCTTAACTTAAATATTCTTTATGTGTCTTCGATCCTAGTCCGCGGATTCACTCCTCACTGTTTACCTTAACTCAAATATTCTTTATGTGTCTTTGATGCAAGTCCGCCGATTCACTCTTTACTGTTCACCTTAACCTAATTATTCTTTATGTCTTCGATCCTAGTCCGCCGATTTACTCCTCACTGTTTACCTTAACTAAATTTTCTTTATGTGTCTTCGATCCTAGTCCGCCGATTTACTCCTCACTGTTTACCTTAACTCAAATATTCTTTATGTGTCTTTGATGCAAGTCCGCCGATTCACTCTTTACTGTTCACCTTAACCTAATTATTCTTTATGTCTTCGATCCTAGTCCGCCGATTTACTCCTCACTGTTTACCTTAACTAAATTTTCTTTATGTGTCTTCGATCCTAGTCCGCCGATTTACTCCTCACTGTTTACCTTAACTAAATTTTCTTTATGTGTCTTCGATCCTAGTCCGCCGATTCACTCTTCACTGTTCACCTTAACATAAATATTCTTTATGTATCTTCGATCTCAGTCCACAGATCTTCCTCAGCATAATAAAATATTATATATAATAAAAAGACAGACAATGTTTTTATCCACACTCATAGAAAGAAACAGAAAAATAGAAGGACACATTAGACGACATAAAAAACGAAAGCTTTATTTACCAGCTGGGTATTGAACATGTCACCTCCAGATGGTGTGTGCACCTCGCTATGGAAACAAGTGTGCTAAGAACATGACCAACTAGGTCATAGGTCAGCATATTCAAAAAGTCACGTAACAGTGATGGTCTGTGTCTTCAACCAGGCTATTGCTTTAGTTACCCAGATAACCTTCATGGTCATACTACAACCGTGTTTCCCAGAAAATAAGACCTACCACAAAAATAAAACCTAACACAATTTTCGGGATGCTTGTAATATTAGCCCTCCCCCCCCCCCCTCCCCACCCCACTCACCCACAAAAAGAGAAACCAAGGTTAAGATCTTCGCCTATTCATCTAGAATGTGAGACTTGCTGCTGCTTTGCAGTTCCCAGAGACTTGCAAAGCCTCTATGTCTCGCCAGTACAGACTGTACAAACACGAAGTTGACGTTGTACATATAGCTGTTTATTGAGTAGCTCAAATCAGTACAGTCCCTGTCGGCCGTTCGTCGTACCCCATTGTTGGAAACTGAAGGTGGCAAAAAGCACTGCAAACATAATTATTTATACAGTCCAGTGTAAATCGCATGTCTGCGCTGTGTATCCTACTAGGTATCCAATACTTTACAGTAAGAATCATGGGAGCTAGAAAGGAATATTTGTCTGTACAACGTCAGTACCAAATGCAACCCCAAAAAAATGTGGCTATAAAGCTCTATGGTGATATGATGGTGGTTGATGGTTGGTGGTGGTGGTGGGGGGGGGGGAGGGGAGGTTTAAAAAAAGAAGACATGTACAAATGCAACGAAGCGTTTCCATAAAAGGATTAATCAACAAAGTACTAAATACAATGCAAGTTGTGAACGGAAAACTCAACGAACAAGAAAACAAAGCTTCTAAAAAAACAATCATCTTCATGGAGCACAAAGACGAAAGCTATAACTCAGTTACTGCTATGAAATCGTTTTCAAGTGATGTAACTAGCCGCTACTCTTCAACCAATCAGCTATAAAATAAGCCTTTGCCATATATGCCCAATGTCGGCTCAGTGGCTAAGTCGATGCGAACGTTCCGTAATGCCGGGGTGCCGGGTTTGATCCCAGCTGCGGGCCATGCGCCTTGCGTTGGTTTCGACAGTGGTATCAGTGAGCCGACCGTCCAGATTCAATGTCAAACTACTGGACGTAAATTCGCCTAGAGAAAGCACACAATAGCCAGGGGCTGTTGGGTTTGGTTCTGCAACGTCCTGTAAAGGATACGCAACTAACCTATCAGTCACTATGGAAATTAGATTTTTTCGAAACGCATGGTCTACCCAAACTAAGAAAGATTTAAAGGAAAGATGTAGTTTCTTTCATGATGACGTTAAAAGTAGTTTAAAAGAAATGTCTGAATATTTAGTAAGTTTAATTATGATTAATCTACTGCAGGTGTGGGGGTGTGTTCTACCCAGAGTATCTGACGGCGCTACCAAAAGAAGAGCTGTATCCGTTTGAAGCTTTTTATTTATCTGAACCACCATTATGGGAGGAGAGTACAGTTGCGAGCCACAAGCATTCAACAATAAGTCTTTATGGTACCAAGTATGTAGACTGACTTTGGCAATTTAAACTGTTTTCAGATTACTAGCTAAGAGGACTGAGATTGCAAATACATGCAGAAAACAATCAATCAGTTTAGGGACCTCTCTCTAGTTGTTAGTCTTAAATACAAGCATATATTTGAATTGTTAACACTATTTGGTATAGAACAGGTACAACTGAAAAGTGTGAGCATGTAATATGATCTAGAGACCAGTCGAAAACCAAAATCTAGCGAGGCTAATTAAGACATGGATTCAAAATTTTACTATATCAATACAAAAATATGAAGACCAAAGCATACTATCATTACGTACAATTCACGGAAGTAAACCTATCTCGATCGGACGCAAAATTTCGTGGCCGTTCCCATAGTATGTTCTATGTCCTAAGGGTGTTATGAGATGCCTTTCTTTCCCACATATACACGCCATGGCGAAAACTGCTTCGCGTTCGTTCGACGGGGTCGACACATTTGCAGAACACCAGACAAAACTGCACAGCTTTCTTGTCGCAACTGTGCACGACTGTCGATTCTCGAATATACTGTTGTTTTGAGTAACTCAGGGGCCACAGGCGCCTGTGTACAACGAAGAAGTAGTTCAGAGTGAAACGCCGAAGACGCGTGGAGTCAATTTTTTTTTAACTCTCCTTGGCGGTGGCTATTGTCTGTGGTGGATGTGCTTAAAATGTTTAAAACAAGCAACAACTGATACCCCTAGAACATAGGACAGCCCGTGGGAACAAAATCACGCAGCCGAGTGAGATGACGTGAGATTCGTGACTTGTACCTATCTGTAGAATTTGAAAGACCTGAATAAACAGTCAACAGTAATTCGTTAGAACAACGATGCACGTCTTGTTATTGAGAACAATATAGCTTAGGGTTTAAGATTGTAGTTTTATAATTCTATAATCCTAGGTTTCATTCAGCTGCGTGCAATTTAACAGCAGATCATGGGTGCCGAAACCCGGGAGCTTAGGCCTCTTGAAGCCGCCCCCCCCCCCACAATAAATTATGTTTAAAAGGTTATTTGTTTCAACATTGCATATTATTTCAGATTTATTATTCTATCATTGATCATTCATCACATTATTATTATTGTGTTCTTAAACTAGGATAAGGCCTTTTAAGACCCTCTTTTTTCAAAGAAAATACGTTTAGTTGCGAACCAAGACAATCTTAGGAACGACGACCGTTGTGATAGCAATGGCGAACGACTGAGCATAAATATGCCAGCAAAAACTCAGACTGCCTATCAATATTGTTCGCCCCCATGTGGGATGCAATTTTTTTTAAGCCTGACCCTGGTTTCTGCCAGGAATCCTGAATATAGCCGGGCCATAAATATGGCCTAGCCATGGATACGGCCATAACGGCTGAAAAGAGTTTCTGGGACCTCTCCACGATGATCCTCATCCGCATGGTGGCACTTTGTGTCACCGGGTGTTTATCGCTTGTGTGGGGTACAACTACCTACCTACCAACCACAGACTGCCAACTAATATCGGGGTTTTGTTTGTGACCTCATGTAAAGGATATACAACTAACTATGTCAAGTATTACCAGAAAGGAGGGGCAGGGGGCGATCAGCAAGGAGATAGGCATAGACTACAAGTGACACCTGAGGTAGGAAAGTGCACGAGGCGGAAAAGCTGCTGAAAGACCGAGTGTCTGTCAGGCAAACGGTGATGAGAGCGACGTTCTCTGTATGATAATATCCAGTGGTAATGTCGATGGTGTTCTTTCCCCCGTCTTCCCCCCCCCCCCCCCCCCCCACTCTTAGATTTCTGTCCTTAGGATTTACATCCCAAGGATGAGGGGGGAAAACAGACGCAGGTCTATGAAAACCCGTCTAATCGTATAACACAGTCATATTAGGGCACTGTTACGGTTGCAAACA